ATAAAGCAATAGCAAGCAATAACTTTGGGCTCATATTTAATGAAATACTATTGAATTAAGGAATGAAAAACAAAAGTAATTATGCCTCTGACAAACTAGGCATTTAAAGGTATAAAGCTTTTTAGCGCATAAAGTAAAGTAAAAGAGGCATATTAATACTTAATAATAACTCGCCTAATATGAATACTTAATACATGGTCAGAAGCAAATTACACAATTTTCCGAAGATATATTTATTCAAGATAAACTCTATGTGATAATTATAGTGGCTCACAAATAATTAAAATCAGGCATACTTACTTGCGATATAAAAATTGGATGATTTAGTAATAAAAGTATGTATCCAGAAGGGCTTGTAATACAATTCTAGAATACTTATGGAGTTCATTGTGAATATTAGAAGTAAATTGAGTATCAATACCAGTAGACTCAGAGGGAGTTTAAATCTGAATTAGTATGCCAATAGAATAAATAATTAAAAATAACTTAACAGACTATAACGATTACAATTAAAACATATTGTTTTATCACATGATGCACTATTCTTGAGTAAGGAAGAAGTAATGGAACAACGTGAAAAGGCATTTTGAAATTAAGTGATTGTATAAAGTACACCTAAAATAGCCGATAGTTATAGGCTATAAAATAAGCGGAGAAATTTGCCATCAGAGGAAAGCTAAATGGAACTTTCAAATTACTACACTGCTATGAAAAGTTAGTAAAAAGTTTGTTTGTTAGAGTTTGGCTTGTTCGTATAAAAAATAGGTAATGAAAAGCAACGGAGTAGATAAAGGCAAGTTTGAATTTTATCAGAGTTTGAGTTTGGCATTCTCAAGAGAAATATTTATTTATCATCTAAACATTCATTGAATTTATTCATGTACTGATATATAGATACAAGCTAGATTTATGTCTATAAGGCACATAACAAGCATTAAGACTATATGCATGAGATAGATATGAAGAAATAATTAATAAAGGTAAAATTGTTAGCTTTTAAATTAGAACTTGCATTTAAGTTTGCATGATTATCAAAGAATTTTTGGTTGAATTCCTTCATTATTAACTTACCGCCTTTGTTCCAATATATTCGCCGGTTTGCTGGCAGTTTAGATGTTCAAATATATATTTTCCTTTTCCAGTTATCTAACACATAATTTATTTTGCAAAATAATTACAAGTCCATTTTTCCAGGTCCCAAGATATCTGTGATGAGGGTGAATTAATTCTCCCCACCCATCCATTTTCCCGTTTTTCCAGATTCCAGTGTATTTAAGATTGGTTAACGCGAACGTGTAATTACCATGTCCATGTCGTTGATGCTCTCTCCATTCTCCCTCGTAAACATCTCCATTAATATAGAAATACGTTCCAATGCCATTTCTTTGGTCATCCGTCCAGTTTCCTTCATATTTGGAGCCATCTGGATAGTAAAAGGTGCCTTGGCCATGCTTCCTGTTCTCATAATATTCCCCTATATACCGAGCACCATTTTTAAATCTATAATGCAAAATAAAATATTATTTACTTGTAAATCCCTTGACCATGACGTCTACCGTTTTCGTAACTACCTTCATATGTATCACCATTTGGTAGAATTGCTTTTCCATACCCATGACGCTCGTCTCTTTCATTTCTACCTCCTTCATATTCCTTTATGTTTAATTTATCTATAAATAACAAACCCCTAGATAAACTCCTGCTTCTTCCTCCAAATCTTCTGAACCAGCGTCAGACATTGTAATAGTACGAAATGCGCGCCTTTCTCATGTAACTATAGTGATCGTCATCAAGCAATACAAAAACACAAAAGCTAAAATTAAAATTTTTGTCAATATTTTATTTGTATTTTATTATACTTATGGCTGAATATATAGATATATATATAGAGAGAGTATGATTTAATTATATATTGCTTACTTCAGTAGCATCATCAGTCTTATGAGTTTCAGCGTATGAGACCAACAACAAGACCAAGTAGCGACAAGGAGGCCAACCCACTTCTATAAATCGAAAGGAGACTGCGACCATACCAGAAGCCAAACTATCTTAGTCTTCATATCTTAAGATTTTTTACTTTCTAGCTTGATTCATATCGTGTAAAAACTATGATGAGGGGATAAGATTTATAATCTCCCTAAATGTCATCATGTTTAACTTGAATTTAAGTCTATTTTGATTTTATATCCTTTCTGACGCAAGATAGCATTATTTCATTTTGGTTATGCTAGAAATGCCTCTAGGTCGAATTTAATAAGGAGACATACTTGGAGAAGTAAAGCCTTATTTTAATGACTTCTGGTAAACGTGACTTAATGTACAGTTTCGTTCTCGCATATGTCTCATCGGCTCCCCCAGGGTGATTTGATATTGGTAACGCGGG